CCAATATGTCATTATTAGTCCTTAAAACTTAGTTCTCAGGCATTTCCCTGGTGTCCTGAGGACTGGAGCCTGCATGGAATATATTAGATTAGCATATGGGAAGCATGCACAACTGCTTTCTTTCTCCAAGGGGGAACCAGACATAGTTTGTCTGCCTTTTCTCTCCTCTACTTATCAGTTCAGGCTTGGGGTGGCTGCCAGTGAAAGCTGGTTCATGCAGACAACTCCTAGGTTCTGGTGTAAACAGAAGGTATGGTTGCTGACCCTTTGTGCCTGGCAGTTCTCTATATGCATATAGTATTGATGCTCCATGACCTCTCGCTGTGCCTTGTTCATTTCTGGGTAGTTTTCAAGGCAATAGTTACAATGTGTGAATCCTATCTACCCTGAGAGCTATCACAGTCAGGTAGCTAATGTTCTGCCATGTTCGGCACTGATGAGACTGTGCTTCTTTTCATTTTTGCAATGAAACTAATGCCAAAGAACAACTCTCCTCTGTGGAATCTGCACCCTCTGATATTTTGCCAGCCTTCCAGGACAACAATAACTAGGGTATGCAGTAAACCTTTCCTGTTTAATCAGGCTTTTTGTCCATCAAAAACCATGACAAAGTATGAGTGTGGGGAGCTGATAATGGTCCAATACTTTTTGATATTTTATCGATGACTCATTTTTTTTCATATAATCATTTAAAAAATGTAAAATGAATGTAAACCAGATGTTATCATGACAGATGTGGGTTAAGTGCCTAGGTAATAAAAATACAGGAAAATGTTCTAGGAAAATTCAATAGGACTCTGCTTATTAAAAATCACCTTTAAGGTACAGTACAATTATAGGAGACGAAAATGTAACTAGGTCTGAGTTTTCCCTGCTTTTCAATTTATTTGATTGTTACCTCTGAAGATACAGTTGCAATGAAGATGTATCAGACACTCTCATGTTTCCCTTACTCTCACCTTTCTCTCAACTCTTCAGGATCTGATTCTTCATCCCTTTCTGAGGCTTAACTCCCATGAAACTCCAAACACAGAACTGAGCCTATAACAGCAAAAACTGGGACAAAAGTCTAGAAGAAGCAGTTTAGTCTGAAAAACAAAGAAAGAAACAGTTGTAGTAAGGAGGGAGCAATAGAAGGCCATTACTTTTAGTGACTTAAAATAAAGCAGCATTTTACAGCTTTGCCTTATCTTATTCTGAAACTTTTCTATTATTCAGCTTCTTTTAAAATAACTTTTTCATTGATTGATTATGAAACTTTTCTATAAGAGTAAGGCAATGACAGGGGAAATAGCGGCAGGGTGATATGATGCAGACAAAGTGACATACTTAATTAGCGGCATAAAACTACTTTACGCAACATGAATGTGTTTTGAAAATGTGCAGTTCAGATCCATACTTGGTATAAATCAGCAGAGCTACATTGACTTCAAAAGTGTTTGAACTTGATAAGAATTAGTTTTTTGGTGTTTTTTGGTCCACTTAAAAAAAATAGAAGAAGAAAACAATCCTTTGGCCAATCAGCCTAATAATTACTTGTTTCAATTGATAAAAAATGTATGTACAGCTTAAATGAAGATAATAAAAAAACTATTATGATCTTCAGATCATGCTATAAAGGACTTACACAAAACAGTTACCAAGGCTTATTTCCTGTTAGATATTTACACTCAAATAAAAAGCTAAAGAATTCTGATGAAAACAAAATTGCCTGCCTTGAAATCTAGGTGTAGTTGTGAGATTTGCACTTCCTATAACATACAGTAAATCAATATAATGCATGTTGCTGTAGTTCACATTTCTATCACACATATTATAACGCGGTGTAAAGGATTTCATAATAAAATGGTTCAAATATTGTTTCCAGTGAAAATACTAAGACAATGCTAAAAGGAACAGCACTGGAACTGGCTAGTATTTCATAACACCTGTTCACCAAACATTAGGAGACACTACCTGCTCTGGAGTTTGGCAATTATTGCACTGGGGAGTAAATCCTCCTATTTGCCTGTAACATTGGGCACCTATACACATGACAGTAATTAGCACGTGTTGGAGCAGACGTGATAAATCAAGTCTTGTGAGTCTGCTGAAACATGCTAAGTAGCATGCTCCAGCAGCCTCCATGTCATTTATATTCAGTGTCCCCACATTTCAAAATGATGGCAGGGGTGCTTTAAAGTGCCCCCACCATCATTTTGAAGCACAGAAAGCTGCATATACGTGTGATGCTGGGGGCACTTTAATTACAGCGGCTCTCTGAGCCACTCTAATTAAAGTTTCCTCCCCGCCCCCTGAGCATGTGTATAGACACCCCTAGTGAATAGGGCAAAAACCCACTGAGTCCACTAAGGCCACTAATGAACCTAGAAAGGGCATAGACCTTCTTGGCAGTCTCTTCCAATAGAAGGAAAAGGCACTGAATGAAGTCAGGGGGTATTTGAGGGAAGACAAAAACAGGAGGTCCACCAGTTGGACATGATGAATCAGTTTGGTGCATCATCCCCAGGTGTTTGGGGAGCTAGGCATCATCAGCTCTTTGGCTATCAAGGCTTCCATCTGGATTGTAAGCAGCATCAAGTCTCTACAGTTTTTTTTTTCAGTGAACTGAAATTCTTGGTATCAAGTTTAAACTTGACTCTCTAGTTTGGCTTCAGATCCTTGCGACTAGCCCCTCCCCTCCCAAATGTCATGCTCTGGTCCAATCCTGTCCCACATGCAGAAGTGAATCATTGTTCACCCAGGCACTTTCAGGTACTCTCCAATCTCCAGTGCCTTCCACAATTGGCTGTCAGAATGAGAACAAGGCCATAAACAGTTCCCTTTGTTTTCTGGTTGGTGACCATTGAGTACAGAGGCAAGGAGGCAAGATGCCCAGTCATGTTGGTGGAGGTCAGAAAATGGAGGCTTTAACTTCTATTGATAGGAGAAGAGAATCTGACAGATGGAAGGGATTTTACAAGAGCTCAACAAGGCTGAAGGACAGCTGTAGGTACATGAAGAAGATGTAACTACTCACAGAGGTGATGGGAGGAAGGATATAATCTGCCTTCCCCCAGCACATATACACACATATGCATGCACACACACACATGCATGTGCAAGTTCAGGCTGACTGCTAGAACAATTGGGAAATTATTATAACTTAAATGAATAAAATCCAAACTATTAACTTTACAAAACTTCACTCTGATAAAGTAACAACATGACAAAATCTGTAATCTCACATAAGGACTGAAATCACCATCATATAGTATTGACTCACCGGAAGTATAGGAAATGTCCATTTTCTGATGCTTACTTCTTATAACATGTTAGAGCAAGAAATCTGAAACTCGTAAGCAGGGAGCGGCAGTGCTAACAGAGATCCTAGCAGTAGTACACTGCATATCAGGATATGTGCATGAGACAGATAAGGTTAAGAAAAGAAGAAAAGAAAAGAAGGCGTTCACCTTTCTGTTGTTGTTTATTAAGGACCTGACTTATTTGCTTGTAAAAATCTCATTGGTTATGGGTGTTCTGTGCAATATATGACTGTAAGAGCAGGACTTGGTAGGATTTCCCTCATACCTACAAAAAGCAGAGAGATCTGAAACGTCTGATTTTTTTATGAAAATAATAAAAGTACTATTTCCCCCATATAAGTGGCCAGATTTGCAAAACTGCACTCACCCAGCAGTTCTCAATGGGGATTTTTAAATATGGTACACTAAATGGTAAAGGAAGCACATTCACAAGACTTTTTAATGTTTCTATTAACAAGTTTAATTGATGCAAGGTTTTACAGTTTCATTTAAACATATTCAAATTCCCTGGCTTTTACCTCTTGTACATTCATGTCTACCTCTTACTTGGGTGCATCTCCATGAGATGCTTAATGCGCAGAAGACTAATTCTACTGTGCATTAGTGCAGTGGGCAAAACCCATGCTAATGTGCTAATGCGCAGTAGATTTAGTCTAATGAGAAGTAGCATTACAACCCCACCCCAATTCATCTGTGCTAATGCGTGGGTAGTGCCAATTATAGCACATTAAGTTGGCGCCACCGTTATGGTGCATTAATGAACATGTAGACGTGCCCAGACTGTGTCCTAGTTATATGGATAATTCACGTTTTGGATAATTCCACTTAAGTCAGGGGTGGGGAGGAAGAGGTGGGGGTGGAGACGGGAGATGCTAATGGAAGAAATACCAAGGGGAGAGAGCTTGTGTTTGTGGTTAAGGTACTGCACTGCAGCTCAGGTGAACTGAGAGAAATAACTAGCCCTGTAGAAAACCCTGTGTGCTCTTGGGTAAATTATTTAATCTTTCATTGCCTCAGATACTTCAATGATGGGGACTCCCTTGCTACCAGCAAGAAATATAAGGAAGAAGCAAAAGAATAAATACCCTGAATGGCAAGCAAATGAACAAATCTGCATAGAAAATGTGTAATTTCCCTGCAATGTTTTCAATGATTTTAGTCTAATGCATACAGATAAGGATAAAGTGTACAGGTTGTCTGCAGTGTGCTTGCACACATGTATGCATGGCACACACACACACCAGAAGGAGAGTTAGGAAGGATTTCTTGGATCCAAGTCAAGGCATAGCAGTGATTCAGAGGAAGAGCAGCATGTAGCAGTATGGCGTAGAGTTGACAGCTACTAGCCAGATGCTTGTTGGGTGGACTTGAGTTGATTAAGTTGCCTGCTTAGAAAGGTGAATCAAGGATTCAGGAGTGGGAGAAGAGCAAATGTCCAGGTCAGTTTTGCTGTCCATACCTAAGCAAGCAGCCCTTTTTATAGTCAGTAGATATGCATCTGAAGTTAAAGGGTATAGTGTCTGGTTTACTGTTTTGGAGGGGCTTAGAAGAATACTTTGTCTATGAAGGGAGAAAGAAGAGTCAATTTGTGAAAGTCAGAAGTTTGACTCTAACTTAGTCTTAATCCATCTCCTGACACATACCCTTTAAAACAGTGTATAATTTTGTAATTTCACTTGTACACAGGTAACCTTGTTTTGGTACAGAACTAGGATCAAGAAGGAAATTAGTTTGTGAATAGTTGTATAAATGAATGATGAATGAAGACAGCAGGCAGACAAAGAGATACAGGGAAGAAATTGATAAATAGACTATAGTAGGCTAGACAGGAACAGAATAGTAATCTGCATGTTAATTTGCATGCTTGGTATTAGGTGTTAAAATATACCTCTTAGAGATACGCTGGACTACTGTATATGTCCATGATAGCTGTAATCAAATAAGGAACCTAGTAGCATACAATTTGTTAATTAACATGTATCAGATTCTTTACTTACAGAGAAATTTAAAGGGCTTAATTCTGGCAAATCATTATTATGCAGCGAGCACCATCTTACAGTGTTCTTAATGCTTGACATCTTGCCTATTGATTGTACCAGGGAAACAGTGGCAGGACAAAACTGAAGAGTGGGCTGGCACAATACTGGAGTGGGCAACAGGAATAACTGCAAGCCCTGGTGAATCATTGTAGGTAGGACCTCTTGCTTTAATCAAAGAGGATTGGAAGAGTAGGACAATGATGTATCATTTTGTAGCACAGTTATAGCTGCCCCAGTACTTCAACCAAAATCTACAAATCAACGTCCTTCATTAGAAAGTGACGGTGCAACAGAACACACGCTCACAACAAACCTGCCACCTGAAAAATAAACCTTCCTCAGAAACAGAAAAAATCAATTTGAAATGAAAGCTACTCAGTGACAAGGATTCATTTGCAAGAGCAAGTTTTACTCATCTCTAGCTAAGAATGATCTGTTTCAGAATGTTCTGGGACCCCATTATATCCACAGACATTTAAAAATGCACTTATCATTGTAGAGTCTAATCCAATAAATTATGAACTACAATTACCCTGGGTACATAGAGTCCCCCTCTTCTGC